AAGAGTGCAAGTACCCTCGGTGCAATGGTTGAGTCATTTCCAATAACAGATGATTCCTACTGTGGCCCTTCAGGCTGTCCACCGTGGGAATGCAAAGCCATAGGACTTCTCAGACCTAGGACCTGGGGGCCCCTGTCTAGTTTGTCGTTCCTTTAGAGGCCATTTCAATGCTGGCCGGTTGGTTCCTCCAGCCAAACCTCAGTGCCACGATCTGTTTTGTGCAGTTTGCCTACAGTCTTGCTTGCCAGTCACAGTGGTTATGCTCTCTTTGCAGATCACTGTCCCAGTGGGCAGTTGCTAGGCTACAAGCTCCATCCTTCAGTCTCCAGCTAGGTTTGCCCTCCACCTGGTTCATTAGTAGCACAGCAGTCCGTCTCTCTCTGCCCAGTCCCTTCCTGTACTCCAGTCCCTGCTGCTCTCCAAAGACCTTCATCAGAAAGGACTGATTTTATACCAGATTTTTCCTGTGGTTCGGTCAGCCAGGAGCAGGGACTGCAGGCAGCTGTCCTGCTGACCAGCGGTCCTCAGAAAAGGAGCAAGAAGAATTACTGCAGCTGGTACAGCAGGGTCATCATCTGATTGCAAGAGCATGAAAGAAGGAGTCCTGATTGCTCTCAGTAGTCACATAATCGCACTTGGCAAGTCCTAGTTGCAGGATGACTTGCAGGTGGTTGGGTTGGGTATTTTCACCATATGTGCTTGAAGCGTGGGGTGTTTTGTTAGACAAATACTCCAGAGATCATTGTTTTGACTAATAGCTGGAGATGGGCCCGAGCCGTGCATCAAACACCCGAAAATCCAGTGGGTGTGCTTTTTGATCCGAGTGTTTGGTCCAGGTCCAGATTGATTATCAGTGTTGGGTTAATGAAGACTCAAAGAACATAACTGGATAAATACAGCTTTTGCTACTGCAAGGCCCCTGGCTATTGCTGCTCAGGGCAGAAATCAAGGGCTCTGTTCAGCTCTCCAGCTGCTCGAGGGGTAAGCACAAACCCCCCATACCATGTAGAAACCTCAGACCCGAGGCTGGATTTTGCTCTGGGCTGCGGTGGCCTGAGGACACAATTCCACAGGGTACTAAGCAAGCGCAGCTCACTTTGAAATGCAGAAGAATCAAAGCCGCTTACCATTTCCAGGAGCTGCTCAACATGATTCAAGAACAGGTTTCACCCCGAGTGATCCCAGTGAGTCAGAGTAGCTACTCCAGGCTCCCAACGATAGCACTGAGATGTCTCAAACTCGGTGCATCTTTACAATCAGCATTAGAGACAACGGGCAATGACAAACCTGAACCGAGTGCCCACAGCCTCTGTGAATTGTATTCTGTTGCTAGGTGCCTGCTAGGTCTCTTGCCTCTTCGCCACAGAGGCAATCCTGCGTAATGCTTTACTTACCCACTTTGGTTTATCTTCGGTTCACCACAACCATATTTGTATCATTCTGAGGTTTTGCAGCCTTATAACCTGTCTGGACTTTGTAATATGTTACTGCTTTGTTTTGCTTTTTGTACAGAAATTGGGATTTACATTTTCTTCTGGAGATCTTAAAAAGCTCATTTGCAAATATTGCTATTTTACTGTCACCAGAAATATTTACAGATTAATTCCTGGAATTTAAGCATAATTGGGGGGGGGTCCTCCCAGATTAATACCCTTTACAGACAACCTGTTCATGCTGGGAGCTTTCAAATGATCTTGCAGATGTCCCATAGCTATGGATGTGGTTGCTGCTTTTGTTGCTATGATTGCAGACAGCTGTGTTGGTAGCTTGAAGAAGGAAGAAAGAGTACATCACATGCAATCTTGTATCACCGGACACAGTGTAGGGCTATGATAATTTTTTCTTTTATTAATTTAACATAAAATGAGTTGCTTTCAGGTGGCTGCATTAATCTTGTGTGTGTGTTCGTACTTTGTGAGGCTAGATTACAATTGCAGTTTTGTTGACTCTGGGCAGTGATTACTTGCTCTACTTGCATGCTGTGCTGCTGATCATTTTTAAGAGATACAACAGGCTAAGAGCACATAGAAGTCATGGCATCTTTGACTACAGAAGCAAGAGCCTTAGATACCAGTCATTACTATAGCTGCAGTGCTAAGAGTACAAGTCGTGTTAAGGCATCAAATGTTTTACCTATGCTTTTACATTATTTGCTTCTATTTTTTGTTTGCTCGTTGTTTAGCACTGAGATGTAATCTGTGATCTTGGACTTCACTAATTGCTTACGGTAAGCTTTTTCATTTCTGATTGTTTATACAGTATAAAAAAGAGATTCATTTGTTCTGCCTGGAGGTTGAACCAGACGAGAAAGCGAAGCCAATGTGATTTATTGAATGAAGATAGTGGACAATTACTAACAACTTGTTCACATTTTGCCTCATACAGCCTGATCTGGTAAGTCACATTTAATTTTCTAATGAATATGTACTGTAGCTATTACCTGGAGAATGAAATGAGTTCATAAACAGATGCATAAACATGTGTGTTGCCGTGTGGTTTCTCATTTTCTGCGTGTGTCTTTGTAAAATCTTGCAAAGTTGATGCTTGTGCGTTTGTACTGTTTGTGTCTGGTTTGTGCATGCAGCATGTACATGTGTTACATATAATAAACATAAATCTATAATTCAGGTCTTTCCCACTCTGAGCTGATTTTAGAAATGGTGCATGAATATTTCATCAGTGTTCCCCAAGCCACAAAAGATGTTTACAAGGGTATGTTGTTTGTATTTCATTATATTTAAAATCTACTTTTAAAGCATGTGCCTGTTGGAAAAGGCTACTTTAGCACAACTAGAAACCTGACTGTAAAGGTTAGGTTATGTGGTGGCCAGTCGGGAACTTCTACCTCCTGGCTTCTTATTATGTGCTGAATTAGGGTGATAATAGTGAGAATTAGACTCTGTACGAGGTGATTATTACAAGCACAGTAGCACAGGAGACGGTTTCCCCAGTGATTTAGACATTTGTTGCTGAAACCATAGCCATAAGCATTTTTAAACATGATTTTTAATTCTTAGCAAAGCGAGCCACCGACTGTGCCTGTTGCAATGCGAGCAGTTCTGCACACTGCCCAGCACAGCTCTGTCTAAGCCCCACCAACCCTGCAGCTCATTTACAATTGCGTGCTTGCCCTGCTCCGAGAAGCACCAGCCACTTGGGTCACATATTGTGATGTGCACAGAGATCTCTTCCGAGCCACACTGAGATCACCTGGCCCATTTAATTGGTGACCTAAACTAAGATCTGTGCAGGGGTTTCTAGAGGTGAAGGTCTGGCACATATATCGACCCAGTGCTCCACCTAGCGCCGACTATATTAGCCTTTTGTAATATCTGTTTTCATAGCAGCAATCATTCACCTTCCACGTTAGCACATCTTCAGTCTGCTATATGTTAAATACTCGAAGGTATGTGGAATTTCAGTGGAAATGATGCACGTTTTTCTTTTTCGCTTGACTGGTAAGAGGGGGGCACGGTTATGAAACGTAACCTGCATACATTTCTTATCAAGGGGCCTAAACCATGGTCTTTATAGGATAGCTTAGATCTTAACTATATTTTTATCGGCCAATTTAAATACAGATTTGGAGTGCTTGTGAATCACAGAATCATGTGGGTGAGAGCTGGAGAGATCCTGTAAAATATCAAATCCACCTCCTTTCCCATTCAGGATTGTTTCTTATTGTACATTTACTAATGACTTTGCTCATTCGAGTTTACTCTGCTTCCCTTGGGAATCAGCTCTATGCCTTAATCAGATCATACTGATAGAAAGTTTTCCCTGGTTATATAACTTAGGTATTCCCTCTTCTTTTTTCACCCTATGGCCCCTGTTTGCATACGTACTTCTTAAATACTATAACCTGCTATGATGTCTTGGAGTTTACAGAATACTGTATTAATATGCTGGTTGTCAGAACTACAGAGAATTTAAAATATCCTGTTTTCTATTATTATCTGTGTGTTTAGTATTGAATCCATGTAAATCTTTGTATTTGTGGTGTTTCCTATGCAGAATGTAGCCCACTGAGAATTTTTAGGTGATGATGATGTATTAGAGGAGCGGTGCAGACATTGTAATATAGCCACGTAAAGAAGGTGCCATCGGTTTTGTCATTGAATCATTGCGAGTTTTACATTCACCTCTCAGGCTTCTGTCTCCTGGGATGAGGAAAAACACCCAAGAGGTCCTGTGGTGACAACATGTCTTTGACTCCTAAAGACTTCATGGCCCTTGCACTTGTGTTTCAGTAATAAAAGAGTAGCTGTGGCCTCCCTGGGGAATATGGAGGTCCTATCGTTATAGTTGCTGAAAGGGTATCACTGGTACTTGTAACCTTGTGGTCTGTCCGTGTATGGGTTACGGTGACTTGAGTAGGACAGCCTTGTTCAATTATCCATTCTCGGTGATCCCATGAAAGGGTAAGGAGTGTGCAGTTGCAGGGACGATCTAGGTGGAGTTTCTATTTGAAGAATTAGCTGTACCACAGAGGAAGGGAAGAAGTATTTCGGTGTGGTGCTAGTCCTTCCTTGGCTGAGGAGAAGCCAGTAGCTCTACAGGCGGGCGGGTGATCAACTCCTGGAACTGCGGGGACATTGTGGCAGCTGCAGAAAAGGATACTGGCCGGCAGAACAGCTGGCGGGAGTCATTTGTTCTGTCCTTTCCCGTGTGCTTTTCAGTAGAAAGGGAAAAAATGGGGGATGTTCTCTGCGTACCAGAGGAGCAATGGCAACAGAGCCAGATGCTTCTGATGCTCGACAGAAACCGCTTAAGGCTCAGGTTGCCACTGAGTAGCAACGACAGGAAGCACCAACAACTGGAGAAGTGGGCCCCAGGGAGTCTCACCGGGCATGGAGAGGACAGCTTTGGGCAGGCTTGGTCCTGGGTTGATAAAGGTAGGGCCAAGAAGTAATACTGAGGACTTTGAGTGGGTGGCCAGTACTGCTGGCTGGAAATGTTGACTTGTGTGGCTGCTACAGCACCATTTTTGATGATGGAAGAGGCCCTGCTGATGTCCCAAGCCTTGAGCAACCAATTATCTGGTTGTATCCCAAGAGAAAGACTTTTTAAGCAGACTAGGGGTGTCTTCAGAGGCATATCATTACCACTTCCTGAAGAAACCTTTTCCCTGCAGAGTATGCCTGTGTGTATTGGCCTGGGAGTTATAGGGCCTGCAGGTGTCCAGCGGTGAGTACAGTACGGAGAACCATGGACCTGGTGGAGCGATTTCTGCTGCTTCTCTGGGAGGTCACAGCTTGAGTGGATTAAGCTAAGGTGCACTGATGCTTGTATAAGGGGTGTGCATCAGGACCTGGGGGAACGCCTGTTCACCAAAGAGCCCCAAGGGATGACATGGTCCAACGGTCACAAACTCCTGCAAGACCATTTTAGGCTGGACATAAGGAAAAATTTCTTTATGGTCCAAGCCCCCACAGCCTGGAATAGGTTCCCTCCAGAGGTGGTGCAAGCACCTACTCTGGACTCTTTTAAGAAATGTTTGGACATCTATCTTGCTGGGATCCTTTGACCCCAGTTGACTTCCTGCCCCTGGGGCAGAGGGCTGGACTTGATGATCCTCCGGGGTCCCTTCTAGCCCTGATGTCTGTGATATCTATGAAGTCTATGAAATACTTTAGAAACTTCTCAGGTGCCTGACTGTAGGGTCAAGAAAGAATTTTTGCCTTCAGTTCAAATTGGCAAAGACCACGAGGCATTTTGCCTTACCTGCAGCAGGA